ATAAAAAAAAAAGGAAGAAAAGGACCCTCCATTAATCTTGTATTCCTCTCAAAAGGACAAAATACTCAACAGAGATTAAGACTTGTAAGAACTGTAATGCTTATATTCCATCTTTTAGAGATTCCTATCAGGAAAAAGCAGAAAACAGGGAAATGAGCAGCAATATTCCTAGGTCTGCCCTCTCTTGGAACTGAATATGCAAAGCCCATAATTCTTACATTGGAGCAGGCTAAATTAGAGATAGGGTAACGAGACCCAATGCAAATATAACATTTTGATGCTTTTTTTAAACTTCCCAGAAGTTAGGTAMCGTACTAAGTACCATCATCTTTACTACATAACAGAGTTTTGATAACTTGTAGGCTGCCGGAGAGAACCTTTCATCATCTGATGGCTTTCCTTTGAGCTGCTTTATCTGAGAGGGTGTGAGCCAGTGAGCAGGGGGATCGGGAGGGTATCAGGACTCTGTTTTGACAGAGAAGGATCAAAAAGGCTTGGGCTAATTACATCTCTTATTAATGACCTAACTACAAATATAGCCCCTTGCTCTTTAGTGGTGGCTCCCACTATTTTGCAAAGTGGCTGCTAAATGTTGCTAGCCAGGCAGCCCTCGCTTATATTTCTTGCTTCTTGGCATTTCTCTTCCAGGTAAAAGGACAGTAGGAATCAGTCACAAGACAAACTTGGTCAGAGCAAAGTTGTTAAGAGACAAAGCAGGCCATATAAATATTTGCTGTACAAAATAATTATCTTTCACACGTGGTCCTGTTAGATGAGAGCTTCCTATAGACCCCACAAGAAGAGCAAAGTCTGGGGATGGAATCTCACTCATTTGACTCACAACACAGTTCTCTTGAGCTTTCTCCAGGGCCTGGGTACTTTTAAAATTATTCTCTCCTATGTTAAATCAATTCCATTCCCCTGCCCGCATCCTCCAAAAAAAGAAAAAAAAATCAAGGTTTCTTTCGAGTCCTTCTCTTCTTAGCTCCAGGTATTTGCAGGACCACAGTGTAACCTCTGGCTGAAAGCGGGAGACAAAAGACACTGCCAGATAAATCCCACATTCCCTCCCATTCCTCCCCTCCAAAACAGGAGATCTTACAGCTCCACAAGGCTGCTTTCCTGCTTATTTCCCCTTGTGACCATCTGTAGTAAGGGCCACAAACCCAAATCTAAACTTACAGGCTGTAGGCAGTTTGCGTGTCTTTAAATTCAGTTTCACAATTAGCTAATTTAAAATATTAAAAATTTAGGTTTTCTGAAAAAGTCTAACTGAGATTCCCTGCTCCTCAGCTACTTTTTGAACTACACTCCAGGATCACCCTGAAACAGAGGGGATATTTTGGTCATAGCAGTAGTTAATGGAAGTTTTTACCTGAGACTGATGCTGTTTATGAACATTATTACCTGAATAAGCAGAATCTGACAGCTCATTTTATGTCCACTAACATAGCTATTACTTATAGGGAGATGGGCACGTTTAAACCCCTGTGTGAAGCAATGTTCACTTGGCCTTCCCACAGATGAGTTACGAAGCCATAACCTAGACATGGGGGAAGGAAATAAATGTAAAGCTATTGGAAAAATCCATGTCCACCCCCCAGCACTGTCCTGACTCTGTCAGAAGGAGCCAGGACAAGAACCCAGTGCACAGACATCTGTCCAGTTAACCTCAGATGCACAAATCACCAACAGCTTCCACAACCAGAGATTACATCTCAGTTGATGTCTTGAATATTTATTCAATGTATTTATTTATCCATGTATTCAGCCTGATTCTGTTCTGAGCTCATTTGCATACTTAGCCATCATATATTAGAGCTGTGGTCCAAATTCTACAGCTGAAAGACCCAGGTTGTGACAGGAAACTCCACCGTGTTTTGAAGCTTCTGTCTGGTAATTTCATTTGGGAGCCCAAGAATAGTTTGTGAGGAGCAATTTTTCAGACTCTGCTTTGTATCCTTTCAGGTATCTTTTTTTCCAAAAGAAACTTCTTTCCATAGAGAAGTTACATTCTAATTGCTACTGTCAGCATTTTCTTTCTCATCTACCTTTCTCTTTTCTGGGGGGAAAACAAAAACGAACCCCAAAACTTTATCGGTATAGAAAGTGGATATCCATATCTCTAAAGCTTTCTGACTTGCCAGGTTTAACTCCTGAACCAGATAAGATGCATGGGACTGCCATTCCTCGCAGGCTTTATAGAGCATGAAATGCCCCAGACTCTGCAGAGACTACACAGTATTGCTATGCATGACACCAAAATTGTCTTGGGAAGGATAAAACTGCTCTGGTGCAGAGTGGCAGGACCAGCAGCAAAGTAGGAAGAGCAGAAGCAACTGCTGAAGACTTTTGCTGTGACTCAACCTGAATTGCCTCGCTGCAGGAGCAGCAATCTCGCTTTCACCTGTGCAAGCCTACAGGAAGCTTAAAGCGCTCTAAAAAGCCAGGGGAGACCTGAACGTGTAGGCAGTAGCTGAATGAAGAACAAAATTCAAAATCTTGATGATGAAAATTCTGTTTCGAGACCTCAGGGTCACAGTTGCACGCTGTTGTGGCAGCTTAAACTGCTTCTACAAGTTTTAGAAGAAAGGCAAGCGGATGAGGGAAGGAGGYGAGAGGAAGAGGAGTCACATGAAGTTAAGACATACTGTTGTCTGTTTTCAGATTTAAAAAAAAAAAAGTTTAACTTACACATACTATACAGTTCAATATCAAATTTGATTTTGTTCCAAAAATTTTGTTACAAAATTGATTTTGTAAACCAATACAGCTTAATGAGATATGCAATAGAACAGTAAGTTCAAACACTGCTACAGAAAAACCATGCACCTAACACGCTGTATTTCCTTTAAAATACCTTTAATTAAAAATTACAAGCGCACATCTCATTGCTCAGAAGCTCCCTCTTCCCCAACAGAGCATAAAGTGAATACAAGGTTCACAACATCAAGGTTTTACTGGAAAAAAAATGAAGAGCTCCCCCTACCCCCGTCCTTCTCCGGCTCCTCCGCCCCAGTAGCCGCGTCCCCGCGCGCCTCTGTCGCGACAGGCGACAGCGCGAGCGGCTCCCGCGCCACGCAGCCCCTACCTGCGCGTGGGTCTCGGCGCCCGCCATGGCAGCGCCCGCGGCCGCCACCTGCGAGCGGGGCGGGAAGGGGACGGGGAACCGGCCCCCTGCGCTATCGCTGCCCGCCAGGCTCGGCAGGGCGGGACGGCACGGGGGACAACCCGCCCCGTGCCGGGCCCCGGCGGGAAGAGCCGCTTCTCTGGCGCCCGAGGGCGAGCGTCGAGGCCCGGGGCGGCGGCCGCGCCGCAGCGCCCGGCGCCATCGCTCTTCCCGCCTCGCCCTGAGGGGCAGGCAGCGCCCCGCGACCTGCTGCGGGGACAGGACCTATAAACGGAATAAAAATAAAATAAAGAAGTCGAGTTTATGGTTGGTTGGCCATCAGATCACCGCAGACCATCTTGACCTGGGGAGCCTGCTGTGGAAACAGCTGCTGCTCCCCTCAAACGCCCCGACTCGCACTCTGCCACCAAGCATCTTCACCCTCAAAAATAACCCCCCCAAAACCTGCCTTTTGAACTAAAAATTCTTTCACTCATGAGATGGACAAAGAGGGTTTAGACAACCCCCCCTCGTCCTCGGGACCACGAGGGCTAATCTGTGGGCGCAGCGCATCCCGGCGAGGCCGGTGCCGGGAGCTCCAGCGCTGCGGTTCCTTATCTAGGAGCGCAGGCACCGTGCCCTGGGCCTGTCTGTTATTGATGCTCATTCCCTTTGCAGCTTTCTTGGGCAGAAAACACTAACGAGCTTCTAAAGCAGCATGAAAAAAAGTTCTCAATCTAGCAGGACATCAGAGCTGTATTTTTTGCTCACTTTTGTTGARTGGCGTCAATGTAAAGTTCAACTTGTGGCTTTAGCAAGACTCATTTAACACCTGCTAAAGCTTTTAGGCCAACAAGGGGTCCTAAAGATCAAGGATGGATCATCCTAGAAAGAGAGGTGAAGCTCTTGCAGTTCCAAACCAGTTTCTTCTAAAATACTAAGCTAAACGAGTTGAACATATTTAATTCCAGGACAGGAAACATCAAAATTCACGGTGAAGTTTCTCTTTTCTTCACACAACATACATGTTAAATCTATTCCTTACTTACATTTACATATATTTCCACTTAGGGAAAATAGCCTGTTAAAAAAAAAAAAAAAAAAATTCAATTTTGCTGCAAATTATACTAAGGCACTGGATTTACTCGCATGCGAGAACACCGATGACTTGTGAAGAAACGATGATTAACCCCAAACATTGTGTGCTTCACAGACTTGAGCACTTATCAGGTTGGTTTTAATGGCATTTGATCACTGCGCAATAGCTGTTTATACCACTGAGCAAGAGATTAGACTGTGCAGACTCTACAGGTATTTTATCAGCCTTTGTAAGTTGCCCAAAAAGCAGCTAGCTGTTTGAAAAGACTACAGGGCTCTTCCACATCTTCTCTAAATTAGYGAATAAATTATCTAAGCAAGGCTTGTTGCCCCCTTCCCCCCCCTTTTTAAAAGCACCTTTTAGTCCAACATGGGATTAGACAGTTAATATTACTTTGATTTTCTAAAAATTGATCTCATTTTGTATTACAATTAAGGTGACTGCACTCACAGGATGCTTTCTGACCATGAACACACTTAAGTCTATAAAAGTTGCAGCCATAAACAGTTGAGTAAAGCACAATATATAGCTAAGCAGAATCAAGCTACCCAGTCTCTTAAATACTGATAGCAGACATGAATGAGTGTTGGAATATTAAATACTTACCTACTCCTTTCCAAAAACATGACCTTGTGATAAAAAGCAAGATTGCTTTACCTACTTTTGAACTCGATTCCCTCCCCCCAATTTCAATTAATTTTACAGTATTTTTTTCACTAAATTTCTATGTTGCACATGCAGGAATTGTATACTGCTACTTTGAGGTTTCATGCACCTTCTGGATAAGAACACTGAACTTATTATCAACCATTTGTGGTTCTCTCATACTTGGTTTCATATTAAAACAGATTCAGAGGCGTTAGATAATAAAATTTACTGTTCAGAAAGCTCTGCAAACTAAGAACTGGAGCTCAGTACATGAGCTGTCTCTTCAGTTTTCAAAGTATATTTGACTGGTCCTACTACTAGAGATCTGGTAGACTAGAATTTAGTTGTGTTACTAGCAATATAAAGTTGAATGACACAGCAACTGCTATAAACTATCTGTAAAGAACTATCTAGTTTTGAATACACTCAATGGACACTTGTGCAGTTGACTTTCATCCACTGCCCTCATGTGAACCTGGAGAGATGCTAAAGCAAAATACAGTTTTACAATCCTATGAATAAATTAAGCGCAGATCTTGTTTGAGGTAACAAGGGTTTTAGAAATAATTCAAGTCACTCCAATAAGTCACCTTCATTTAAAACAAAACAAAGAAACCGCAAACCCRTCTTTCAGTCAACCAAACAGAGGAAATATGACAACATTTGTTCAGGTAGCATAAACCAATGACCATTCATTGAAGGCCCCAGGCAGTCTTATCCAGAGACTTCAGTCCCATTCACAAACCCACGTGCTACTTAGCAAGTACAATCCTCAGGATATTYAGCCTTTATGTTGATTTCTCCTTCAGCAAAATTTGGAGGGTTTGGCTCCAAATATTATGCCCACACAATAAAAAACAGTGAAATAAGAACTGGCTGAAAAGAGAAGGTGATAGCATGGGAAAAACCCTGACTTGCAAATAAAGATTTTGAACATCTCTGAAACATGGGCACATGCACTTAGTGCACTCCACAGCTGGCTGTTTGAGGACAAAAATGAATATGTAATACAGAAACAGCTATATTCCTCTAAGCCAGCATGCCTGTAAACTCCAGAAAAAGAGAAGCTTTGGTGTAAACCCCAGGAAAAGAAGAGCTTCGGTGAGAAAAGACTAGCAGTGGTTCTCTATTCCTTCTAGTGAATTAGGTAGTTTAACATCACCCTGAAAAACACCTGTGGCAGAACACGAGGGAGGCAGAAACCACTTCAGCCATTAGTAATAATGCCTAATTTTGAGGCACTTCATAAGCAGCATGCACCAGACTACCTCGTTTTTATCTTCTCACACATGCACCTACCACATGAAAACTTAATGGAACATTCACACTGTAGAAGTTTAATCCTAAACATACTGATTTTGTAGTACTTAAATCCTAAAGATATCAATACTGTAGAATATTTTCAAGTTATTTAGAGCTCATATGTGAGCTTCCCTGCAGCATCTRTTGCCTAAACATTACTGTAAGAAGAATGCAAACTGAAGCAGCTTACACTGAAAAGTAAGTAAAACCAGACAGTTTAGTCTCRTTGCAGTCCAAAGTGCAAAAATAAATAAAGTTTTCCTTACAAGGTGCTATTAGTAGTAGCAAAGTCTTACAGTAGTACCATTTCATCTAGACACTCCTTGAAGGACAGGCTGGCAAAGCTTATCTACCTAAGGAAGTTCTAAAGAGGACTTTGCTGTATAGTTATCTCTGCTACATTATAGCCAGGTTCTGACCACAGAAATGAATAGAAAATACTTCTATTTTAGCAGATTATAGCACAGCACACTTTTTGCTAAGAGTGCAACTAAGTGAGGATCATAGTGCATCCAGATATTGCTGGTTACATTTTTGGTTTTGTCTAGTTTTGTCTGTGTGGAGCTTTTGGCAAGTTAACGTCTAAAYTGCGCTCATGCTTTGGATTGCGCCATTTGGCTCTTTCTTGAGGTGTCCTTCAGGTGTAGCAGCAGTTTCACAGTCACTCTCGGGTGCTTTTTCTCTACGAGTGTCTGAAAGGCTCAGTTGTTTTCTGAAGTCTCTGAACAACAACAGCATTTTGCAACTTTGCTTCCTCGAGTGAGAGCGTCTCATCCCGCAGCTCTTGAAAGGGCAGAGAAGTAGTCAGTGTAAAGGGAACCCTTCCCTGTGATCCTTGGTATTCTGTGATGAAATCTCTGATGTGGCTTATTCTGAGAAAAGGGRAAAAAAAAGAAAATTGGATATTAAGTACTAAAAACCCAATGCAGAATGTACACACAATACACAGAGCTACCTCAAGAACAATATGAGACTCCCATTTCACACACAGGAGAACCTSATGGTCCAGGTTTCTAATAAACCCCCAAGGAGATGGTTGTGGAAGAATAGAGAACCCAAGGAAAGAAGATGGGTGCATTTTGCTCCAGGGACCCAGATGTTTCTCCGTGGCTCACACATTTCTTCACAGCTGGCAGAGCTCTTGACCTGTGGTTTTTACAACCATGAGCTGGAATCAGCAAGTCTCTAGTGTATAGTATGCATAGCAGCACTATAATAAAAAATTAAGAAAGTCTTGCAAAACTTTCCAAAATATTAATTAAATCTAAACATAGTCTCCTCTTACCAAAGCAGGGGAAGAGGTGAAATCATGACCCCTTAATAGCCAGCCTCTAATCTCTAAAGAACAAGGAGCAAGACGGCTTTGTAATGACAAGGAAGAGTCCAGACTGAGCAGTTTGATTAGAAAATGAAGATGACAGGATACATCCATACCCAAAAAATAAGTGGTGCCAATGCCCAACTGGCAGAGTCTGCCCAGAGGCCAATTTTTAAGGGCACCCTTCCTTCCCCCACGAGTCAGGTGCCTCRCAGGGTCTACTGCCTCCACAAAATGGTCCCTGACCTGGTGTCCTTCCTGATCCAAGTTTGGGAGGATGCTACATAGTCCAGATGACCAAGCTCCTCTGCCTTGGCCACATGTAGATACTGTCTATATCTGTCCTATTAATTCCTGGTCACTGATTATTKTTGTCCTAAAGGCTATAGCTTAGTTTACAAATTGGGGATTTTTGTCTGCTCCTCCTGCTGAAAAGGGGAATATTCTGTTCTGATGCAAATGCTACTTGCAGTCCTACCTTCAGGTTCTACCCCTCCCCAAAGGACTTCCCTCTATTCCTTGCTAGGCCATAGACACATACTACGTGGAACATGACAGCCACATAGCAAGAATAGACATTATGCTGGAATATTCAATGTAAACTTGTCCCAAAGACAGCATCACACCAGCAAGACTGCTTATGTCAGACTTGTTTTCTCCAAGAACACCTAGCAGCTTTTCACACTATTATTTACCGTAAAGATGAAAGCAAACGTGGAATAATGAAGGTAGTGAGGCCTCCACTTACAAATTTATAATCAAAATAACAATTGGCCCTTTGGTACWTCACAACAGTGTTTCAGTTCATACCTTGGGTTTCTAGAGGTAACAGTAACAAAGAAGTACTACTTAAGGAAAAAAAGAGTTATAATCATTAGCTTGCAACTGTTAAGCTTTCCTTATGCCCAGACACAAAGCCACATCAGTTTATCTTAACAGCAGCCTAGATTGTGCTCAACCTGTGATCACTTCAAATTGCATCAGAGCACAGTACAGACAACACATCATTTCAGTATTACACGACGTGCAGTACTGGAGCAGCAAGTTACATATTTGGGAAAAAAAAGGTGTTTAAAGACAGTAGTTCTACAATTTAAACAGTTAATCCCACCTTCTTCCTAAAAGTCCCAGCACACACAGGCTGTGCTGACACTTCTGATGTTATCCAGCTATAAGCCTCTTTGGGGAACTGGAAGTTTAGAAATGAGAATTAAATATACTAGATGCATTGTAGTCTGCCTTTGCTGACAGAGCTGACATGTTGTGGAAGGGGAATAACCCCTCCTGATAATGCACTGACTCTGGCCCTCCCTAGAGGCTCCTTTGGCTCAAACCTAAGTCACATCCTCCAGCTCCCTGTGCACGCTGGAAGGGATACAAGTAGATGTGCTAGAACTCAACAGCTGTGGTGCAGTTTCTGCTCAATGACTAGCTTCGTTTTTATTAAATGATTTGCTCCAGATGTACTCAGTTTGTGAAATATCTGTCATCCCAAAAGCTGGGCAAGAATTCTGGGATGAATTCTGAACTCCCTCCTCCAGTAATGAGCAATGTATCTACCTTCACTTGCAATACAAGGAAGCCCTAAAAATCTGTCCAGGAAATTTTAACGACAGTTATACACTAACCAGTTAATGTCATTGCACATTCTTCTTACATTCCCGTTTTGTCAACTAAAAATTGATTAGTTTCTTCAAAAAAAAAGTATTCTAGATTCAGCAGAACAGCTCTCCAATGTTAACATTATGGGGGTGCCATAATTATTACCTACAGAACTGAGAGACCTATTGCACATCTACTTACAGGACAAATAGTTCTGATGCAAACGCATAGGGCAGTGCTAAAAGAAATCTTACCTGTGAGAAACATTGAATTTCTGAACTATCCTTTTTCCATCAGCTAACCAGATCTGGATGCTCGTGATAGGCTCCAAGTCATTTAAGGGCACAAACGGAAGAGGTCTCTTGCTGTCAGCTTCTTGCTGGTCATCTGTTACTTTAGAAATAATCCTTGGAGTCGCACTGCAAAGAAAGGGCAACACAAGGTTATGTCACCTGAGGTCACTTGGGAGCTTGAACCTCCACTCACACCTCTGTTTCTGGAGGTTTCTACTCTGAGTCAATGTGTGTTGAGGACATCCTTTAAAAAAAAAAAACAGGAATATTAACACAGATGTTGAATTTTAAACACAGTTTTATATGTCAGTATCTTCTCTTGGAGACTACAATGTTAAAAGAGCTTTAGTTTGTTCACAGAAAATATTTTTACATGGTGGAGGAGAAAAAAACAAGGATTAAATACAAACACAGAAGAGAAGTGAGAGGATTTGAAGATTTTTCATTCATCTTTTGCACTCCAATCACATAGTGAAACTTAGGTATGCATCAAATCTGCATGTTCAATTCTTACTGTAACTAGAGTAATTCAGTTTGACTGTTGCTCGCCTTGGTTTAGACCCCATTTCCTCCCCCGCTTTTGGGATTTAGACCACTCCCCACCCCCCGCTTCATTTTAGAGTTGCTATTTATCTGTCAGAAGAACTGGCTTAATGTGAACATGCAGGATTAATGCAAACAGCAGTTGGGTTTTGATCTCAAAGGTTACTTTTGATAGCTGAGCATCCCTAAAGGTCACTAAAGGACCTCACAGARCAGAGACCTCTGTCCAAGTGCACAGTGCACATGGGGAGGAGGAAGGGCAAGAAAGGGGGAAAATCTAGGCATATTTACTGGGGAAAATTTTGATTCTGAAGAGATACCTAGAGCTTAGCACTTCAGGATTAAGCTTGTTTGCCATGTACTGCTTAAATCATCAATAAGACTTGATCCAACGGGCAGAACTTCAGTGTCTGTAAGTACAACCAGCTGTTTGCTTGCAAAAGAACAGCACTGATTTAAGGAGCTGCCATTTCTCTCAGCTCAGCCATGGTCTCTGACTACACAAGTGCTTCACAGTCGTTGCAGGGAAAGTTTCACCTTTGCACTGAAAAAAATCCATTATTTTTTCTCGAGTGAGGAGTCAGTAATAAACAGCCATAAATAACTATTAAAACCATTGCACCTGCTTCATAAACAAGCCCCAGCTTTATATTTTTACATTTTGCTCCCGTAGGTTTGCTAGCTTAATCAAAAAGCAGAAAAGACAAAGCCATTTTTTCATTAAAAAAAAAAAAAAAAAAAAATTAGTCTTGAAAAAAAAAAAAAAAAAAAAAAAAAAAAAAAAAAAAAAAAAGTAGTTGACTCTTGGGATCATGTCCTTCTCATGCTGAGGTATTAAAAAATGCACTTCAGATTCCTCTACTGTCTAGGTGAGCATCCTAATTTCTAGGCTGCCAGCCAAGAATAGAGGCACTTTTAATTTCTCCCATTGAAACTGTATGAAAAGAATGAGAAGCAGGGAATCTCATTCCCAAGTGATGGATAAGGGATGCTCACTGGGACTGGAGGCACCAGAGGGGCACAGACTTCACTGCTCTGCGTTATACAGAAACCAGCTGGGAAGCAAGAAGCAGATGCCATGAGAAACATGTAAAACATCCTGGTGCTCCCATGATAGGTAACGTAYTAGGCACCTGCCTCTACCTGGCTCACATCCATATTTCTTCTTTGTTTCTGTTGTTTAACTTCTGATAAAGCCTAGTGGTCCTTCAGACCCAGAGAGAAGGCTCGAGGACCACAATGGTGATGTCAAATGTGGGAAGCAGAATGGAATAAAATGTCCAAGTCACACGTCAGGCGAGCAATCATCAGTTTTGCCCAGTGGGGTTCGTTTCCAGAACAAACCCCTCAACCACAGTGGTCATTCAGACAAGTGTCTCTCAAGCAGATACAAACTCTGGTGCAATTCTTAAGCCAAATCTCCTCTCTCGTGTTCACATCTCAAGAATTTTTACTAGGCGCCAGAGATGATCCTTTTAATAGCAAGTGTATGTGGAATAAAACTGAAGCCAACAGTTTAAGCTGAGCTGTAGGGGAAAGTGAGGAGACGCTCCCCAAGGTTTAAAGTGTGTCTATACTTCGTAGCTTTGTCCTTTCAGAGCAGGCAGATAAAGCCATCTAGTGGTAGGAGTTTTTATTAAAGCTGCAAACCAAGAACTAAAGTCTTCCTAACTTGACTTCAAAGTAGCATCATCTCTTTTAAAGGCTTTCTTATTCCTGTTGCATCTTCTTTTGATAATCTGATAAACTAAACATCGAAGAGACATAAGAATCTCCAGTAATTTTTCAGGAGAAAAAAAAAAGGCAAAAAAAACTAAGAGAATTGTGCCTTACCCAGGTTCACAGTTAAGAAGTTTGACCCACAGCATTTTATCCTAATGAGGTTACAAAGCAAGTCCACTTTGCTACGAGGGTTTTCAGTCAATAAATCCAAATTTAATCCAGTATTTGGATTAACATGCTTTGGAGGGAGACCCTAAAATGTATAGTTAAGCTGAACAAAGCAACGTGGTTGTGAATCTTGCTATAGCTACACACCATCAAATGCAGCTGGGCAGAGGTGGATACAACAGAAGGAATAAACCCTTCACAAAGATTCATTAGACTCTTCTAACACACCTTCTAAGTCTCATTCTTTTTTTCTCCGTATAACATAGGGAAAGGATCAAATTCAGTAAGCCGTAACAGACAAATTCATATAAGGGCTACAAAGTTCATCAACCTACATAATCCATCCATCTAGAAATGCTAGGAGGAAAATGATAAGGACTGTTTACAAAAGAAGTTTCATGGAGAGAAAAAAAAAAATGTATTTTATACTTATACCAGTCTATAGAACAATCTATTCTATACCAGGCTATAATGAACAAATATGCTCAGYAAGTTGTCAGACATCTCAGTGCACAAAACCAGACAGCTGAAATGCACGAAATAGCAAGTTTCCAAAATCTACTGGGAAGCAAGATCATTCCTTGCTGTAGGCATGACAGAGCAAGACAAGCAAGTGAACAAGCTGACATTTAGTACTGATGTCAGCAGCAGAAACTGGCATATTTATAGAGCACTTTTTGCCTTTCCTATATCCCTGTCTATTTGTGGATTAAAAAAATATTAAATTCTTGACTCTTGTTTGCTCAGAACTTTGCTGCTACCAGAAACAAAACTTGCAATGTCTCATCTCCCCTTTTCTGTCCWTCTTGGGAAGCTTTTCTCTACTGACCTCACCTACTCCAACATACAGCAAATGAATGGCCCATACGATACGTGGATTTCTGATGAAACACATTGATTTCTCTAAGCCAGCCTGGAACCACTTGCACTTTGCCATTTCACATGATCCCTAAGCCAAAGTCTGCTTTTAAAAGCACACAAATCTTATGTGACAGGGATACGTGAAGATGATTTGGCCAGAGCAAGCAACATTATAGAGGTTGTCACGTGCTCTCTTGGCTTGTCCCTCTACAACATTCTTCCAAAATATAGTGCTGTTTGGTAACAAATCAAGTCCAGTTTTAGCACTGGCATTAGTGGTTGGCCCTCCCCACCCATAAGAGAAGCATGGAAAAAAAGGAGGAGGAATCAGTGTAACATRCTAAAAAGTTACTGCAAGAAATATATGGTAGAATACTAAAAAATATCATAAAAGGAACTGAATAAGAGGATATTTTGCATTCTACAAGAATGTCATATCCCCCTTTTGTCACACAAAACAATGTGCACCAGCTTGAAAGGTGCTTTTCTCTTACCTTATGRAATAGAAGAGTGAAAAGCCTTTCAATGGGAAAGGGCACTTGGAGAAAGCCAATTTCAGATCTTGAGCAGAGAGGGCCAASAGCACCCTGGCCATATTAACAAGAGCACAGGCAGCAAGTTTTTGGGAGCAGGTGACCCCCTCTATCCAGCACCGATCTGGAGGGCTTTAAGATCCCATGGATAAAACTGGATAAAACCTGGCACAGCCTCAACAGTCCATGCTTTAAGCAGGAGGTTGGCAACCCTGAGGTCCCTCTCAACCTGAGTTATTGTATGATCCTTTAGTGTAGGTATAGATTGCTACAAATCACGGATCATGTCACACTACTTACCTTCCTAATCTGTAACCATGGCCAGAAAAGGGATGGAACAGTGGCTTTCTTGACAATAAATACAATTCATCTTTCTTGTCTTCCACTTTCACATCTACTTCCTCCTTATCAAAAATTTTTCGTAGCTCAAAAGGCAGTTCCCTTAAGCAAAAAATATGTACATCACACACAGAAAAAAAGATACTGTTTTCAGTACACAAAGTAGATTAATAATTAATATCTATGTTTATCATCATAAAGATAATATGTTTTTAAATTCATAAKTGAAAGCATATGAGTTATATTAAGTGCAGATCATAGAAGCGACTTCAAATTCCTGATTTGCACATTAACTAGAAAGGGAAGAATTAAAAACAGACAGCAGGAGAATTGCTGGATGATGTTCAAATTTACYCAGCAGCTATCACACCAAAAATACTCCACAGAATGTGCAAAAAAATAGTATTAACAAAAAAAACTACTGCAGCTATGTCTGTAATTGCCATAGTAAAATAAAATAAAACACACTAGACTTTTATAGAGAAAGGCTAAGTTTAGAAACATATGTGTTTAATTACAGATAAACATGAATTTCAGCTTTTCAAAAATTAAATTACCACTAATAGTTCCATATTCAGGGAAATAGTATCACCTTGGTGATGTATTACTTGCTTTAAGGGGAACATGGCAGTGCTCTCACTTAGGAGCTCCGGTGCAGATACCACATTTTTGGGTGGAGGTGCCTAGCTGGTACATGGACTGTACTGAGGGTTTCTCCAACAGCAACAGTTATTTGGGAACCATCTTATGATTACTTAGCATCTCTACAAGCAAATAGTGGAAGGGAGGTGCAAGTTTGTCTCTGATTCAAGCAAACAAAGAGCAGGAGACTTTAAACAAGGCAGTTAATTGCTAGTGAAACCAATGTGGGTGACATCTACAGAGAAAAATACAGTGTAAAGATTGCATTTTTCAAGAGCAAGTGAACTGTGAAGATCAAAGGTTAGTTTAATTGCTTCACATAAGTGTGGAGGAATTACCAAATTGTATTCTCCATAAAAGTCTACTTATATGTGGCAAGATAACATCACAAATGAAAGGCTCAAAAATATTAGTTTCTACCTTCAATCTGCTATTTTAAAGCAACACTGCATCAAGTACTAGAGATTACAGCAGTCTGCCAGTCGTTAACAGTAGGATTAGGGAGAGACTGCAAAATGATGGAAATCACCATTTTCCATTAGAGAAAGAAAATGAGGGCTGATCGGAACTTCTGTAACGGGCAGCAACTGTGCTCATTTAATGGAGGCTTTTTATCAATAACAGGAAAACACACAAAGGCCATAAAACCCGAAACGCTCAACCACTTCTGGATTGAGTTTGTTAGTTAAAGCATCCTTTGAGTGGTAGCTATTACCAGGCACTCTGATTTGCCCTGTATTTCATCCTGCACCTGCTGTGCCTCCTACCAACACTTGCTTTTATCCGTTTCATCAGCAAGCGCACCACTATCGCACCGCGAAGCTGCTAAACCCACCGATGTTAAAACAGCCATTAACGCTGCAGGAACTTAAGAGAGGCAATAGCCAACACTCCTGCAGTGCCACCGCAAYGCAAAGCCAAGCAGCTATGTCAAAATTCATCCAGCTTTCAAGCATGAGCAAGCTGCTCTCCAAAGCATATTAATGCAGGCTGACTCAATATATAGAAGCTCRCGTACCCTTTTTTAACAGAGTCCAGGAACTGCTGGTTTGCAGCATCAGCATAATTCCTCAGTTCACCATCGTTTACCGTAAATCCGTTTTTCCAAAGTTTAATAATTATATCAACCTGTAAAATAAGAAAAAAATTCTCATTGCGTCACTGATGTAAGAACTATTTGACATACTGAGTCCCCTGTGTTTTTAAATCCAGCCACTGAGTTGACAAAAAATACTGACAGAATGCTCATTTATGATCTATTTTGCTCTACCTCTTGGTGCTGGGCCAACTGCAAGGAGTAACTCACATTCCCAAGTATCATCTCTCAGAGTTAGAAACAGACCTTCCCCCATCCCCATGCTTTCCCAGTCCAGGAAGACTGCTTTCTCCCAGCAGGAAACAGAGAAGATTGAAGATGTCGACCTGCTGCAATTCTTCAAGAGCTCTAATTTGAGAGCCTGTACATCTGGTGCCTGCAACACCAACTGCCAGCAGAGTCCAGATGGGTTTGTTGCTGCCTTACTTTGACCATTCAGGAGGATACTCTGAAAACRGGGCATTTAAAGCATTGATGCAGAAGCCTTTTGCTCAGGAAAAGCAGGAACAGTTATCTAAAAATGTTACTTTCAGATAGTTGTACTTTTATGTTACCCTGGAAATTCTGAGAATATGAAAAAAATCAGGTCTTAGGAGGATGAAAAAAATAAATTCTCCGTAATTCACTCCCTTTGTCAGAGAACATTTACTTCTTCAACATGCAGCCTTCACAGTGTTCACTGAAATCTCTCCAMCATCAACTGGGATAGATTTGGAATCATTTTTTTCCCATTTCTCCATTGTGCCATCTGAGGAAGGATAAGTTCATTCAGGTCCGACTCCTGAAATCATAGAGTTTTGACAGGTACGTGGCCACACGTATGGCATATGAAGCACACACAAAGGCAGAATTCACCTCAGCTGGAAATTAGATGGAACTTGGCTTGGTAGTACTTGACAGTCTTGGTTTTTTTCCCCTCCTTCTATTTATGCAAAGTTTAGCTTGTTAGAAGATGATTGCTACATAAACACACAGCATGTGCAAACTGTGAACAGAATCCCTTCTCTTTTTGCTTGGGTAATCTGTCAAAAAGGCATAAAGCCGTAAAAGGTTGCAACTGTTCAAGCAACTTTGGAGAAAGAAAATTCCATATGGCAATTTCTTTTGTGGTTACTTCTCACATTCTTGCACCCTATGATCAATGCACTCTCTTTACCAATAAAGCAAAAGTGCATGAACCAATGCAAGTTACATAGATGATGGAGCATTGAGCTATTCCAATCCTAGCCTGACTTCCATGCATCCATGTGTCTTTACAGGTGGACAGGAAAATTTACAGGTGGACTGACCCCAAACTGGGTGGGGTAGCTGACAGGCCATAGAGACGTGCTGCCATTCAGAGGGACCTGGACAGGCTGCTGAGTTGGGCAGAGCGGAACCTCATGAGATTCAACAGGGACAAGTGCAGGGTCCTGCACCTGGGGAGGAGCAACAGCAGGCACCAGTACAGATTAGAGGTTGACCCGCTGGAGAGCAGCTCCACAGAGAGGGACCTGGGAGTCCTGGTTGACACCAAGTTAACCATGAGGCAGCAGTGTGCCCTTGTGGCCAAGAAGGCCAATGGGATCTTGGCTGCATCAGGAGTGTTGCCAGCAGGTCAAGGGAGGTGATCCTGCCCCTCTACTCAGCTCTGGTGAGGCCGCACCTAGAGTACTGGGTGCAGTTCTGGGCTCCCCAGTATAAGAGGGACATGGAGCTTCTAGAGGAGGTCCAGCCAAGAGTGACACGGATGATTAAGGGACTGAAGAATCTCTTGTACGAGGAAAGACTAAGTGAGCTGGRCCTGTTTAGCCTAAAGAAGACTGAGAGGAGATCTCATCAATACGGGTAAGTACCTGAGGGGAGAATGTAAGGAGGAAGGGGCCAAACCTTTCTCAGTGGAGGTCAGTGACAGGACAAGGGGCAATGGGTGTAAGTTGAAACACAGGTAGTTCCATCTTCATGTGAGGAGGAACTTCTTTCCTGTGAGGGTGACAGAGCCCTGGAACAGGCTGCCCAGGGAGCATGTGGAGTCTCCTTCTCTGGAGGTCTTCAAACCCTCCTGGATGCCACCCTGTGCTCTAGGTGTCACTGCTGGAGTAGGGGGGTTGGACTAGGTGATCTCTAGCGATCCCTTCCAACCTCAACCATTCTGGGATTCTGTGATAAGACTTGATAGAATTCTTGTATTTGTTTTCCAGTGTGCTGCCAGCAGAACTATCATGTTAAATGTGTTTTTTCTTCATCACCTACCTGATTCTTGACTGTAGCCGGGGGCATGCATATTGCACCAACTTTCTGAGCTTCTTCAAAAAGCTTATCTACAAAATAGTCATGGTTTTGATCTGTGCTATTCAGAATCTGATCATCAGTTCCAGATTTACACCTCCTGCAAAATAAAGACTCAGAAATGAGTTTGTTTTCTTAGAAAACACAACAGAAAACAGAAGCAGCTAACCCAGAAATTCAGCACCTGCAGGTACAAAGGGTTTGTTCCCCTGCACCCAACTTAGTTGGTGTTAAAAAGCTCTGTTACAGCTCTGCATTGTCCCTGTTCAGAAAAAAAAAAAAAAAGACTTATGAAAAAGAAGCTCTAACCGGTGTTATTACTTGCACTTCTGAAGCACAATATAGAGAACAACAATAGCATGAAGCAGAAGGTGAAGCAGAAGCTTCTAAACTTGACATCAGAGCAGGAAATGAAAATTAGACAATTCGTACCTCTAATTCAAGCCATCAAATATTTAATCAAACACCTCTGACAAGCTATCCATTTTCTTAAAGCTTCCTCCTGTTAAAATAGGTAACTTCCTTTAATGTAATTTTTAAAACTTACATCCAAGAAAACTCTCCTAGTATTTATTTCCTCCTATCCAAGCCCTCACCTTCCCAGGGCCAGCATGGAACCACCATTCCTGCCTTTGAATGTACCTTACAGAAACCTGAAAACAACTCACTCAACACTACTTGAACATGTTGAATAACTACTATAATAGGAATAGGAATAAGCAACCTCAATGACTGCCTTTCAGTTCATGTTCTTTGCAAAGGAAGAGGATTATGCAACTTTCGATAAATATTGCAGAAGTTATTTCTATTGGAAATTCAGAAAAGTCTGCTTTAAACAATTCAACAAATCCTATCTCTTGAAGAAAAATAATTTTACATGAAATTCTACAGTAAATTTGAAAAGAACAATGTTTACTTGAATAGCAATTAGACATGTCTGTACAAAAAAAGAAATGATTATTGTTAGCACTATGTTTATGTAACAGTAAGATCACCATCTTTAAACAAAAGAAAATCTCAATGACATCGTGAAATAAGTTTCCACAGTTTTAATTTTCTAACAGAAGAAACCTGAATCATTAATCTAAGTTTACCTTAAAAACATAACTGAAAACCTGTCATCTCCACATTGAACATGGAACGCCACAGTGGGCCAGCAGTTTGTAAGCTKGTCTTTCTATTTTAAGTAAAAACGTTTGTGCAGCTTCTTGCATTTAGGAAACATTCCAGGTATGCAAAAAATCTTTAAGCACAACAATCTGCCTCTTGAAACCTCCAGTTTATGTGCAGCAGATGCAAAAAGTAAACAAAGAATCCTTTCTTCTTTAATTACAAATGTCCTTCACAGTTTCATAATAGAAAAAAATCAGTTAGGAAGGATAATAGCAACAAAATAGTTTGCTTTGGCAGCTCTATTAGTTACTGTAACTATTATTTAAGCAGTGAGGAACTAGCAAACAGAAGACATACTAGTTTGAAATAATTTCTTTTGTTAACACTTCACCAATTTTATTTCAGTATGTACTCAAGTGCAAGTTGATATTTCATTCAAATCTCATCTCCAGTAACATCCCCTATATTCTTTACAGTGTTAACAATTTACCTCTTTCAAATATATACAAGCTTAAAGGTCATGACAAGACAGACACACACAGAGCAATGGGAGAAAGCAAAAGCACAAAGATATGTGTGTGTGGTGGTCAACACTTACCATTCATCCTTCACAGTTTTTATATTGTCCACTTCTTTCATTTTGGTACTTTTCCTAATTATGGAAAGAAGATGGTTAAAAAGAATAAATATGTAGAATGGACAAAATGCATAGCACACTTGACATATTTTTGACGCTGAAACACTGCTTACAGCTCTTCCTGGGTTGACAGGACTCTTAAGCACAAACCTGACCCCCCTCAAATACCCAAAGACTCCAGATGGTTCTTTGCTTTCCTGCAGTTTCTAATTTGATGACACATGAACCAAGCATCAGTTTCGGACACTTAAAAGGCAGTTTTCTTTTTCCTAAATGAACAAAACAAATGCCATAATGAACCATTAAAATAAAAATATAAGATATATGCCCATGTTCATGCTAGGTGAGAGGATTTCTATTTTCTTTTTAAATGAGGGGTATTATTTAAACTCCTGTGATTTTTGGCAACCCTCTCTGTCAGGCGGTTGCAGAAAACTGCATTGCCACTGCAGGCAGTACGTCTGATGACCTTCAGTGTGTGCTACCCAAAGCTGAAAGATTTGCCAGGCTCATTTTCCCTCTCCCTACCCTACCTCAACACATTGCTTCAGCCTCCCAGAAGCAGCACACAGCATGTTATGCTGCTCTGCCATTTAGATAGAGAGAAAATCCTGGATTTGGAAGTACTAAATATACTACAAGATTAGGCGGCTGAGTCAAAAGTGACAAAGAACAGCATATTGGTCTCATTAGAGTCCCTTTTCTGAGCTCTCTGAAAAGAGCGAAAGTCATACAACTAGAGACCCACAAAACAAACATCACCCTAAAACTAGAGAAGGCTGCTGGAGAAGAGATACTTTAAGTTGCAGCTGTATTTAAAGAGCTATTCCTAAGGATTGCTTGGCACAAGCTACACAAAAGACATTCTGCTCCTGGTGGGTTGGGAACTAAGTCATATTTTGCATGGCTATTAATAAGTGTCACTAAGCACTGACATCCATCATGCTCCTGAAAAAAGAAGCATGTGTAGCAAGGCTAAAATAAATAGAAAATGGCCTTGCCATCTGACTTAACAGATGATGGAGAAGTTAGAAAACATTCACTACAATATTTGAAGGAGAGAGAGATACAGACATTCAKTTACTCAGTACTAACTTATATTCTTTGGGAGGTTGCTTGGATATCTCTCCATGTTTGAAAGTTAAAACCTTATGAGAGGCTTTCATCAGAAATATAGAGAAGCCTCCAGAAACCTCCGTAAGAGCCAGGTAGACTCATTCGTGCCATCTGACCATTCTAAGTTTTATAGCTTAAGCAGCCTTCAATTCACAAGGTCCTGTTATACATTAATCAAAGCTCTGCTTAGCATATCTTTGACATATCACACAGATGTGGTAGAGATGGGGTTTTTTTTGTCCTCCTGCTTTTACAAGTGTTCTGCCAGAAGATTATATTTGGGTACATGATGATCTTGTAACCGTATCTGCTCTCTGCACTTGGGACTTGAGCTTCGAAAACGCTGCTTTTTGCTATCAAGATGTAAACCGAATTTAAAAGTGCTTAAGAAAAGTCTTTCTCTAAACTTCTCCCACTTAATTTTCAGCACTGCAGCRCGAAGTGTTTCACATTAAGATGCATTTCTCCAAATCTTTCGCTATTTAAACGCCCCAAAGGCACGAGAGGCACCTCCAGCCACCTGCTGCCGTTGATTTCTTTGCAACTTGTCACCACAGCTGCTAAAGGAAACGGCGAGGCAGCGAACCCGCTCCTCCTTTTGCTGCTCACACCGGCCCCATCGCGCACTATTCAAAACTGGTCAGCTGTGAAAGCCCCTTCCCCTTCCAAGGCACAACAGCAATTACGCTTAAAAGTAGCGTTTGCATTCGCGTGTCAAGGTAAAGACGACAGATTACGTGGCACGTTGGTGTTTGCTGGGGTCAGAAAAGCCGCCAAAGCCCCACACAGGGAGGCAGCGACCTGCACCGACTGACACCCTGCTGGATCCTCTCCCCGCTCCTCAGACACCCTCTGCTRTCCAACAAACCGCTAAAACTGCGGGTGATTTTTCCTTTTTTTCCCCCTTTCTGTGGTAAATGGCATCACAGAGGCGCGAACTTTGCGCCTCGGGAAATTAAACCAACTGGAGGGCAAAGCTGGAGCCGTTGGCGCAGCGGCCTCCGCTGAGGGCGGCTCCGGCCGGACCCGGCCCGGGCCGGCCTCGCTGCCGGGGCGCGGTCAGCTCGGCTCGCGGAAATTAAAAAATAATAAGTAAAAAGAAAAGAAAAAAAAAAGAAAAAAGGGGAGGGGAAAGCGCAGTTTCTCGGGACGCGCTGCGGTAGCAGCTCGGCACCCCGTTAGCGCGGGACCCCGCGCCCCGCCGCTCGCAACCCCGCGGCCGCTGCCTCCGCGCGCGCGGGACGCTCCGCTCCGTTCCGTTCCGTTCCGCTCCGCTCCCCCTGCGCCCCACAGCGACTCACCAGGCACCGCCGCGACCCCCGCACCGCCAACTCGCTCCAACGTCCCGCGCCGCTCCGCGCATGCGCACAACGCTCTCCCCCCCCCCCCCGCAGCGCGGGAACGGGGCGGGCCGGCCCCTCCCCCCGTGGCGGCCGCCATGTCGCGTCCCGCGCCGCCCCCCCCGCCTCGACAGCCCCCGCGCTCCCCGTCACACCTGCCGCCCTCTAATGAGGCTTCTCAATAATTAGCGATGCGAACTGTAAAAATATTTAGAATTAACCTGAACTGAGCAGCCACAACTAGCTAATTCGCGGTAATTAATCGGAGATCCGCTGTGAATTACTAAGTGCGAGCAGAGCCCTCTGAAGCAAAGGTAGAAGGGTCCTATTTGGCTGAAGGTTCTTCYTCGCTGGGATCTCTTCTTGCAGCCGCCTCGTTGTAAGAACTAAAATATGAAAAATACTGAAAAATATGAATACTGAAAATACTGAAAAAATACTGAAAAATATTACTGAAAAATATGACTGAAATAAGATCTTGGATACCAGGTCAGTGAAGGYGAGTAAAAGGAGTGAAATCTGGCCCTTAATTTGGCAGCTATAACTCAGTTTTCTTTGTCACAACACACACCTTCTTGAAGGATAATTTTTAGTAATTGTGAAGCTGTAGCTGGATGAGATCCAACTACAGCTTATGCCTCCGAATCTTCTCTGAAAACAGATACTTCCCTTTTATTTTGGTGCAAAATGTGAAGAGAGTCACTTCAAAATACAGATTTCTAAGTTGAGATTTTTTTTTCAGGGTGCAAATAGCTTTGTTAAATAGAAGTCACTTGTTAGTTACAGGTGTTACTTGATCTCATTAAGTGTGCTGTGTATTTATATATCTACAGCTTATCTCAAATATTTCAAGGAATTTATGTGTTGCTGTGTAAACTTTAGAAACTTACCCTGCAGTGCTGGCTTGTTTTACATTTTCGTCCAATGTTTTAACTACATTGAACCCCTTTTGTTCAACACAGAAGTACAACAACGTGCTTTTGCTTTTGAGCCTTTTCCCCAACAATTTACAGACCCCGGAGTGAGCACAGGAGGCATCAAGCCTGGACATACCTGGTGCAATGATGCAGCCATGCATGGATTTAGAAATGCTGCCTGTTACTGAAAATCAGAGTGTGACTGATGTGCTGACCTACGACAGTGGAAATCAGTGTCCTAGTGAGTTTACTGGTTCCTTAACAGCTCTTTTAAACTCTTCTCCTTTAGCAAAGCTATCAACAAACATAGGAGTATGAGAACCTAAGGAAAATATTCCTGCTTAAGTTTTAGTATAATGTACAAACTCAGTTAGAAGCTGAAAACTTTCAAGTTAGTGTTGTCACCATCTTCACTGGAATTCTTTCAGACTCAATGCATTTCATACAGTGTATTTTCTGGTAACAAATACTACACAAGATGAACAGAAGCAAATGGGCCTTTTCTTACTGTGTGCTGAACAGAAGCAAATAGCACAGAATGAGTTTACTGAAGGGGGAAAAAAAAAGCTATAGCAGGGTATTCATAAGATGGATATGGTGTCTCGTGGTCCTTTGTCATGAGGGATGGGATGCACTGGTGTGGAAGATAACAACAACCCCTGAAGTTCTTATATAATGTGGGGGGGAATCGCAGTGTTGACAAAGTAAAGCAGTGTTTGAGCTGTCACCACCCATCCTGTCATGAGGACAGAAGGCCCAGTGCACAGCAGTGAACTAAAAATGAGCAGAACAATAATTCTGAAGGGATATTTTAAAACTATATATTCAACCAAACCCATTCCGGCTGAAAGCATCGGTTACCTCTAATTAAACATCAACAATTCAGCTATATCGATTGACCTTAACTTGAGACAGCAGTTATTGCCTGAAGCCTTTGCAGTAATGCATGGACATACTCAGACAGAATAGAGGGAAATGAGAATTGTGTAATAGACAGGAATACAGAGTAATTGCTCCATATGGAGAAATTCCAGTATCAAAGACAGCACATTCCTCTGCACAATGTCCCCTTTCCATATACTCCTTGCAGGAATGTTGAACCTTGTAGGCTGCCACACAAGGAGAAACAGCTTGAGGAACAAATGTTTTGGGAAAGCTGGAAAATGGAAAAGTGAGTCATTGTTTTTATGGGCCATGTTGGGTGAATCAGCATTCATAGGGGGGTATTAATTACTCTCGGGCAATCAAGGACGTGCCCACACAGGCTATTGGCCAGCTGCACTGTAAATCCACAAGAAAAGTGCATACAACTTAACTTTTTTTTTTTAAAGTAACAGGAACTACATGAAACCATGAAAAATTCAAGAGAGCTGTTAGTACCAGATAACAAATATGTTTGGAAATAAGCTATGATGTGATTTCCCCAAACAAAGACATACTTTGAAATGAAATTATGAGACAGTGCCGTAGCTTATGAGATAGTTCTTGGATTTGTAGCAAGAAGATACACTCGAAAGCTACGACTGAGGACTAGGGAGATATATGAGCAAATAATGTTTTTGACACGGACCTCGCATCTGACCTTAATCAAGTCATTCTGCACTCCTGTGCCCACAATGTCTCTATGTACTGATGTATTTCATAAAGGCTCATTTATACTCCAGCCATTTTAGGACAGGGTCCATTTTGCTATGAAGCTGCACACCATCCAGCACAGTAACAGGCTGGCGGTAGGACTTTCCTATGATTAATGACCATAAACAGCAAAATGAGCTGATTTGCCACTTTTGTCCAGGACGGAAGCAATTTACAGCACTGAATGATAGTGAAGAACAGTCCAAACGGATTTCCTGGCCTGCAATATCATCAGCCAGTGAATTTCACGCAGTTCTTAGTATTAGAAAGACTATTTATTGCAACCTTACCTCATCAGAAAAGAGAAATGTTTTGGAAGCTGGTGGGCAGATGTGATAAGAAGCTAATTTGGAAATATTAGGAGGTAAATCTCACCACTCCCATTTAATGTCATCTCCTCCCTGATACCGCTTCGATTTGCAGTGGTATTATCTGTTGCAGTGTGTAAGAAAAGCTTGAGATTTGGGAGCTGATAGCAGGACTAAACATGGACTATTTAATTCTAGAATATTACCATTCTACATTTCTAAATGGTAGTCTTCAAATAATGTGTCATCTTTGATAACATATCAAAATGATTGGGAGAGTGACTGTATCACTTTATGTTCAGGAGATACTGATTCTGGCTATAGGACACTGCTTGCTTGATGTTTCTAAGCTTGCATCCCATGCACCTATGCCCTTCAAGGGGAAACCTACAATCTGAGTTTCCTAAGATCCTCTCAGGAAGGGACTTGAAGCAGGTTTACAAGAACCTCGTGAATTCTCTTTATTTCAAGATTCAGCTGAAACCAAGATGAGCTGACAGCACGACAGAGGGAAACACACTAGAGCTTTATTGGAGTCCTGAAAAGATGATTTGATTTCCATTCTTTGGAATATTACACCTCTTTGCAGATATTATGAAGTAATCTCTGGCAAATTGCCCATGGCTGAAGCAAGTGGGAACTCRCTGAATAAAGTCCTTCGGTCCTTGCTACACTGAAACTAATATTAACATCCCAAGTAAGGGATGCAGGACGTTTTCTTCTGTGATAGTCTGCTCCTGATTTCCTTGTAAAACAGGGACGGGTGGCAAAAAAATCTTCCATCTCCAAATATTTCTTGTGCCATCAAATATTACTTGTGGTGCGAACAAGGCTCTCCATCTCTCCTTATCCTAGGTATTTTTTTATTTTTTTATGCTGTTAAGTCCTAATGAGATCTAATTCTTGTTTGATGGAAAGAGAATCTTTTGCTTAACTACTTTTTCATGGTTTTCCCATTATCTAGTGCTCTACATGCAGATGTTCTAGCTTTTTCTTAATATACATTTCAGATATTTACATCTTTTCTGAGTAACTGGAGATAAAAGGGTGTTGGATACCCTTTTAAGGGTAAGCTCCCACATTTGTTATAAATTGGCTTCCTCTGAAACTCAGTCCTTGCCAATGGCGTTTATTTTCAGAAGCATTTAGAGCTGTAAGACCAAACTAGAGAACTTCAAATTGAATCTTACTGGAAATGAGCCCTGCAGAATTTTTGTGTAATATTTAGTGCAGTTTGGCTGCAGTCCTTTTCCATCTCCATTCTTTGTGTCTTGTCTTTCTCAACTCAGAGAGTTTTTGTTTTGTTTTTATAAAGTTGCGTATAGAGTGTTGAAGAGA